TTGACCCTCGAATAAGAAATGTTGCGTCAGCGAGGGTCTAATTTCTTGTTTGGGAAGATTTCTTATTGCATGCGTTGCCCGTACAACCATGACCGGCAGCGTGCCAGGCTTCAAGGACTTGACGGTGAACTTTATTCCTGGTGCCAAGCCACAACTGGTCTGTTTTTCAGACGAAGAGGAGGCAAGAACCTGACATTGGCAGGCAGGGTGCCAAGCCATCAGAGTCTGCTGCAAGGTGGAGAGGCTAGATCTGGAGACCATGAAGATTCGGGAGCTTCACCAGCTCATGAAAGACAAAGGCCCGCTTGTTAGACGCAGGGCACTTTCCACTTGTGATGTGCTTACAGGTTTTGAGCGCACTGCTCCAGTGCCAGAGGACCTCTAGCTTGTGGCGGTGAGCCACATGCTTTGTACATGTTCCATCACAGCGTCCAAGACACCTGCAAAGAATGGCCGTACAAAGCACATGCGTAAAGGATGGTGCCCTGGCCGCTTGTGTCAATGGTCTCACTAGTTAGGCAGCTTGTCATTTCTATTTGGCAAGCAGAACAGATGTAGCGCCTCACGCTACAAATCCGCGACTACATGTGTCGCACCGTTAACCACGGAAGGCTTCCTGCACCCGGTGTTGCAATGGTTTCTGTCAGACTGGTTTTTGGGCTGTTCAATCAAAGTGTGCTCTCCTACCACGCATGCCGAGTACAGCCTGCAGTGACCGCAGTTCGTCTTGTGCGTAGTGTTGCAAGTGATTTATGCTCGGGACGAAGGGGTCCAGAGCGTGATGAGGATCAATTCCTGCGGCTCGCGAATTGCCACTGCTTCCCAGTCCCAGACACACAAAAAGTGCAGACAAAAAATCGAAGGGTTTCCATCTTGCAGGGTGATGGAGCTCTGACACAAAAAAAGCGCGAGTGCAAAGGATGCTGTGCCGCCGCAGCTTATAAGCTCATGGTGGCCTCATACTGCAACGTCCGAACAACAAGTTTTGAAGCTTTGCAGAGCCGCAAGAGGCACAGCCTGCTGAACAGCTGGCAATGGCTGTAAGTTCAGCACTGCAAGTTGAATGTCAAGATGAATTCTGAGCCTGTCCAGGGGCCGCATATGGGCTGCTCTGGCTCGGCTCCAAGGGGCAAACAGAAGGTTGAGGCCGTCTGTTGCAACGTCTTTTCTTGCCTGTATCTCGGGTGTTATTGTTCTCATCATCGTCCTTGCTCTCTTGTTATTACTTCGCAAGCTGGTGGCAGGTGCCGGCAGAGCGTCGGCGACTCTCTGTGGGTCTCGTGGAAGATGAGGAGGCTGCGGAAGAGATGGCTCCTTGACAGATAAGGGAGGAAGCAAAGCTCTTGACAATGCTGTAGAAACATGAGCGACTTTACAGCTTCCGCATTGTCTGAGGATGTCAGGGAAGAGGATGCGGTGCTCAGCTCTTGTTGAGTAAAGCAATCTGCAGAGACATGCCAGGGCAGACCCTCGACCCCGATTCCCATCTCATTGGCAGCAGGACCGGGGACTCCTCTCTGCCCTGGACAATGAAACAGTTCTCCAGCTGTCGGGAGCCTAACCGCCAGACTCAGTTGCTTTGTTCTGTCTTCCTCTCCCTGAAGGCTGGAAGGAAAGAACATCAAGGGCGGCCGCAGGATGAGTATAGGCTAGGACTCATGTTTGTTGTGCTTCACCACCTAGCTAGCAAGAGCATGTCAAGCTATCAGCTGGCATGGCGCGTGCAGACGCCTGTTGACATTTGTGTTGCTTCAGGCACAGCCTTGGATGCTGGGTCAGCCCAGCGAATTTGCCCAAGCGCACTCATCCCTCTTCATGCATATTTCGTCACGCAATGAATGGAAGTAGTGAGTGCCGAGACCTCAAAGCAGGATTGTGCCACTACCAAGCACTTCTATAGTTGTGCATGAAGGATTCCATGTGTACAATTTTAGGACCAACTTGTTAACACATGAGTCCGCTTATGATGAAATGGTGCAGTAATGTAAACGGCTCTCACCAACATAGGCAGATCAGACTGTCAGCGAGGTTGTGTCAGAGAGGTCGAAACATGAGCTACCATTGCTTGTGAACACTTTTTTTGTCGTGACTTGTGACTTTCTGTTGTTCATTGCGAATGACTGCCCCCCCCCCAATTTTGGGGGTCAAATCGATTGTCAGTGTTTTAGTTGAAAGCGTGCTCTTGCTTTAAACGTGCTCTCGCTAAAAAGCGTCCTGCCGTTTGCCCCTATCCAGCGCTCACGTCCGGAATGTCCTTAGGTTTTGACTTAATGCTGCTGCTCTGAAAGGGCTTCTTGACCTGCTCTGGGTGGTTAGAGTCCGTTAGAGTTCTGTTGGATGTTGACCTTAATTGTTTAGATCACCCAAACCAAGCCCTAAAAGACCGAAGCAACAAACCCTCAAGCCTGAAACCTTTAAGCCCCAAAGC